ATGCTTCTTGGTCATAAATAACAGAAGACCCAATTCAAACTGACTTTGGAAAATAAAGTCAGTTTATTTTCTCATATAAGTTAAAGTCCAAAGAAAGGTTGGTTTGATTAAAACAAAAAAAGAAGTTCACTGTTGGCCTGGCATGGTGGCTCACACTTGTAATCCCGCACTTTAGGAGGCTGAGGTGGGCAGATCACCTGAGGTCAGGAGTTTGGAACCAAGCTGGCCAACATGGTGAAATCCCCTCTCTACTAAAAATACAAAAATTAGCCGGACGTGGTGGCAGATGCCTGTAACCCCAGCTACTCTGGAGGCTGAGGCTGTAATCCCAGCTACCTGGGAGGCGGAGGTTGCAGTGAGGAGCTGAGATCGCACCACTGCACTCCAGCCTGAAGACAGAGCATGACTCCGTCTCAAAAACAAAAAAAAAAAATTAAAAATTAAAGTTCTCTGTCTTCAGGACTGGGGTTCTATTTCTTTGCCCACTGTGGGTCAGCTTCTTTCTTGGGTTGCCTTCCCTCAATAATCAAAAGGGCTGCAGTGGATCCAGCCTGACATCCACACACCAAACTGTCCAGGTGACGCGGCATTTCAAGCAAAGTTGCTGTGATCCACTCTGTTGAATGGGCTTCAGTCACAAGCCTGCTCCTGGTCCAGTTACCATGGCCAGGGCATGGAATGTACTGACCATGGCAGCCTCAGTCACAGCTGTACCCCTGGAGCTGGGGTAGCGTCAGCTGTGCGGAATAGGGAAACGAACGCAGCCACTGTGGATCTGCTATACACAGAAAGTAGACGCCTGGCTAGGCCTGGTGAGGCCTCGTGCGTGGTATCATCACTCATCAATACACAGGAGCATTGGCTGGAAGAAGCTCCTGATTCCTCAGTGAAAAGTGTCGTGACCAAGAGGTCAGGAAAGTTTTCCAGCTCTTGAAAACCAAGAGGCAAAAACCTGTTCTTCAAGGGAAAAAAAAAGAATCTTATCAGTCCTCATCATACGTTGGCTTCTGAAATACATGAAACCAGAGCCTCTCTTGGCTTGGCCAGATGCCTCCTCTTGTCTGAGAGGCGGACAGTAGCGTATCACTCAGGGTAGCTTATGGTATTGGGCAGTGAAAAACAACCCCCAGTCCTCAATGGCTCAACGCAAGTCCACCGGGAGTCCAGGTGTGTCTCCAGGACAGTGGCTCTTTACGACTGCAGGATCCGGGCAGAAGATGTTACCACCGTCCTGTAACTTGCACTCTCTGGAACGATACAGTCCCCCACTCCCAATCAAAACCACAGGAAGAGCCAGCTAGAGAGAGAAACACTGGAAGTTAGATGCCTCCAGCTGGGAGTGACACTCAGAACTTTTGCTCTCATTTCTTTAGCCAAAGCTAGTTCCAAGACCACGCCTAACATGAAGGTGAGAGCATCCATGCCTGGAAGTAGAGGAGAACCGGATATTGGAGAACACTCTTAATGCCTGCTCCAGTGGAATTCCTGGGCTCCTCGAGCAAGAGCAGAGAACTGTGCCAGGTGCCGCGCCTGTCCCCTGCACTGGAACCAGCCTTCTGTGATTCCGGCTGCCACACGCAGGAGCTCATTTCCAGGCTGGGAGGAGACTGGCAATGGAAAGATTAACTGCTCCCTGGGTTCCACATGGGGATCAGTACTTTCAATAGTACTTTGTGAGTTCAGCCTCAAAGTAAATGGTTAATTCATCTTGTATCAACAGCACTGTGATTCATAATGTAAACTTGGAGAATCCTTGATGTTTCGGGCCCACATTCCTTTTATTTTGGCTCTGCATTCTTTTAAAGCCACAGTGTGCTCATTTAATAGAATGCAGCATGCAAATGCACAAGTTTTTGCCTGGAGGCAATTTAGCCTGGCTGTTTCAATGGATGTCTTCTTTCAAGTGTATATTCTTTCTTAAATTATTTACTGGGTAAACACACTTTGCATTTTCAAAAGGGAGATTAAGATGGCTTGCTGCAGACCTGGTTCAACAGAAAGCTCCCCGCTTGCCCAAAGTTAGGAGGAAGTTACTTTGGGCTTCTCCCCAAGTTCCTTCGCCACCATCTCACTAGCTGGGAACCCCTCGGCCTGGCTGGTTTTTCTAATTCTCTCCAAACTCTGCATTCCTTTCTGCTTTGCCTACAGCAATGTGGGCCGGCAGCCCCTGGCTGCGATTGCAACTAGGCTTCCTCACAGATGGGGCCCACCAGTGCCAGCCTGTATTTCCCCCTTCCAAACTGGCTCAGTCCTATCCACCCAGATGCCCTGAGAGTTCACTTTTCTGGTCCTGAGGGGGACCACATTTGCACAACTCCTTTGAGGTCCAAAGCTGGGTGGACGGCCCAGCCAGTCAAGCTTACTTAGAGCTCTCTCTGTTCCAGCTCTTTCCCCACCCCCATCTACTCTTCCTCCCAAATGTCTGCCGGCATTTGGTTTGAAAGCAAATGCCCTTTCCTGCTGACACCCCGCCCCCACCCAGCACACAGGAGTTCCTTCTGGCTTCAGGGAGAAGACCCAGTAGTACTCTGAGAAGGCGTGATGGTAGGAAGTTGCATCTTTGGCGGGGCTTGCTTCAACTTTGAACTTTATCCTTTTCCATGCAGACTCCCTGAGATTTTCCTGCAAATTAATTGCACAGACTTCTTCTCCATTGTCCTTTGAATGGAAGATTACAGTTACCAGAGACTGCATTCTTTCATGATCACTCTTTGGGCAGTTCTCTTGAGTACCTGTGTGCCAGCAACTGTGCCATGTGTGGGGTGGTAGAGGTGAATTCCACACGGCCCCAGTCCACACAGGTTGGGCCCTTGGAAGCGGGCGGTGGAGGGGAGGCGACCAGGCCCTGTGGGTGCACCAGGGAGGGGGTGAAGCCCAATTAGGAAGGCTAGGGAAGAGCTGAGGATTTAGGGATTCCTGTGTATTCATATTTCTTACCATGCCTCAGATTGAACAAGTAACACCCACAGCTAATCCTTTCTAAATTAGCATCATGGATGCCTTGGGGTCCTCAACCCACAAATAAAATGGTTGTCAACCAAGCTGTACAAGAGACACACTTCTGTAGATTACTGTAGGCAGAATTTTAAAGAGTTTTCATGCTTTTAATCTGTTTCACTGCTGAGTTTCAATTTTGCTGATTTCCTTTGCAAGTCTGATGAGGGTGACTGTGGTAAATAGAGATTTTGACAGTGACTTGGGCAAATGGGATGTGTAGGGACTGTTCTGAAGACTTCTGTCCTTTCCAGAGAAAAGGGGGAAAGAAATCAGTTTGGGTTTTAAACAGAGCCACCAAGTAGCACCGATCAGTGTTCATAATTAGCCTCCCTATAATAAGCCATGAAGTCCTGTTTTTATTTATTTATTTGGGGGACAGAGAATCTTCCTGCCTCTTGAGTAAGTATGGCCTGTTAAGTCTGAATTAGCTGTCATCACAGAAGAATTAATGTCGGAGTGCAGACTTTCTAGTGGGGAAGGGAAGAACTAAACGAGACAGATCTTAGCTGAGCCTTGCGTGATAAATGAGGACCAAGTGGGCCATTCATCTCCTGCGAGGAGAGTGGACAGAGGCACGAAGGCAGTTTTGCGGAAGACGTGTCAGCAAATGTGATCATTTTGTAACCTGTCAGGAGGAGAAGGAGCTCGTCCTTTTAGGGGGCCACAAGGGAGTGGGTTGGTCTGATATGACAGTTTCCATTCAACCGTTTAGGTTTGGAGAAGAAGGGGACGGGTGAGGAGGAATCCTACTAAAACTACAACCTGATGTCATCCTTCCAGGAAATAAACTCATCTAGGAACTAGAAAAGGCTGCAGAGACCCTGCAAATATTTGTGTGTGTGAAGATACAAAGTAGGGGTGTGGGGTCTCTGTTCCGTGGGGGGCCCGGCTTCATCCCTCCAGCTCCTCCCCATGGAATACCCATGGCCAGTGTTTGGAGACTGGAGTAGGGCAGGAGGCCTTTTGCTGCTTGGAATTTGGAGGAGGGCTGGGTGGGGTTTGCCGTGGGGTTTTGAGCTGGACAGATAGCTGGCTAGACTGCCAGCCAGCCTGTGTGTCTATTTCCGTGCGGCTCTGTGAGAGCGAGCGTGGGCACGGCTGTTTGACCTAGGTTCCCTTTGAAACTCTCAACAAAGCACTCTGATGTTCGACCTCTTTTCTCCGAATGAGGTAACAAATTATGAAACAACCTCATCAGAAGCTCTCTGCAGGCATCTGGGAGCGTGTGTCTCCACTCTGGTCCCCCTTCTGAGTTGCTGGTTCCCCATCAGCATGCAGCCCAGCCAGAACCTGGGGAGGGTGGAATCCCTGGAGGTGAGGGCCCAGCAACAGAGGCACAACAGGCACCTTGAGTACATTGTATATTTCTCATTTCCATCTTTTTTGCTGTGGAGCAAATGTAACGTTTCCTCCTGGCGTAACGGAGCGTGAGCCCCAGTGACAGATGACGGTTTCACAGCCTAAACTGCACATTTGACACTTGCTTCTCAATTCCATCCTTTTCTTCCTGAGTCTCTCTTTTACTTTTCCCCAGGTATTTTTATGCAGGTAAGTACCTTACTGACATGTGTTTCCTTGGAGTCTTTTACTTTAACAGGAAACACTGCAAAAAAATGAGGCTTGTCTCACCTTTTAAATTAAAAAGAGAAGCTCGCAAGGGCCCCTTGATCGCTTAAAGAGACTACATGGTATTCTGAGCCTAGAGAGCCATTTGATTCGCCTTCGCTTTGCAGTAAGCATTTCTCGGAGGGCAGCATGACAATCGTGTGGAGTCTTTCGTTTTCTCGTGGATCGTTTGTAGAACCAGAAAGCTGCGTGATCTCTCTTCACGCACACACGCACGCACACACGCACGCACACACACGCACACGCACACGCACGCACACGCTCCCCACCCCCACCTGCGAAGCTGCCGTTTGATTAGCCACCCTGGCCTCAGATGGCGTTTGTGGGAAGGCCCTCCACTTATCTGTGTGTGTTTTTTCTCCTTTGCTGTCTCCTAGAATCATCCAGAACCGCATCCTGCTCGTCATCCTAGGGATCGTCGTGGTCATCACCATCCTGATGGCGATCACTTTTTCTGTCAGAAGACACTGATGTATCTGCTCTCCCTTGATAAACAGCAACAACAGCTTGTTCTGAGTAATTAAGACAAAATGGTCACATGAATCATTCTATTGCACTGACAGGCCCCGGGTGACCCTCTCTCTCCCTCACCGCCGTTGGGCTGAAGTGCAAAGAGTGTAAAAACATTTTCTATTCCTGTTTGCATGTGGGTTGGTTTCCTTTTCGAGGTTTGTCTTCACCTAGATTCGTTTTTTAGAGGGGAAGGTGAATGTTTATTTGCCTTTTTGCTAATGTCATCAACTAGCCAAAATAGCCTGGTGACATTCCTCTTAGCCCTTTGGACGTGTCAAGGGCCGTGGTTTGGGAGAGGACATGATGAGTCAGTCACGAGAGCTTCTGTTTGTCACACGCCTCTTGTTGCTGAAAAGCTCTTCTGTGATGTCCGAGGATAAAAAGGCAGCAAAAAGCAGGGGATGGAGTCAGTGACCCAGTCCGGCAAGCCAGCCCTGTTCCTACCCAGGCCTCATGAATATGGTCATCAACCTGCTTGAGTGCTTTCATTGTAAAGGTCGGTATTTAATGTCAGTTGTACAGGAAATTGACTTAGCACTTTCCCTGTTTTTCTATTGCATAATTTTTTTTGAAAACCCAAGAATATTTTTGCTGAGCCTGCCCAATATTCACTGTTCACAACTTTGATTACTGGCTTCAGGAAATATTTCCTTGCCTTCCCTAAATCCCATACTCCCCAGAATCTGCTGGCAAAGTGAGCCCTGGCACGGGATTTAATTGTGACCTCATCTTCCCTGACCTGTGTAAGCATCTCTGTATCCTTTCGGTTTTAATATCTGCACTGCCAAAAGCAGTCCTCATACATGCAAAAGGTCTGACAAGGTTCTCTCCACATCCATTCCAGTATGTAAAGAGACCATGAATATTTCAGTAAGAGCAAGAACATGACTCCATCAGTGTGAAATTTCAAATGTGATTATAAATATGGGAGAGTCCTATAGGAGGGTCCACCAGAGATAAACTTCACGGAAAACGTTCCCTAACCTCCTTTAAAAGAATAGAGGATGGTGGATTGTTACAAAAGGAACGGCTTGGGTTTTTTAGCTAACAAATGTTAGCAAGCCTTTCCTGAATTCACTATGTATTCAAACTTCTAATATGCTTTGTGATTTTTTTTCTTTTCATTTCTTTCTGTCTGAGGTAACCAGGCATTGCGTTCAAAATGAGCTCATTTGTGATCAGGCTTAAAAGTTGCCCAAGCTGAGGTCGCTTCCCCCCCAGTCACAAAGCAGAATGTGTTTTTCTCAAGACTTCATAGGCACTTACTGGTCCATACTATCTTTGGAATATAATTAGAAGCTTTGAATCCTTGAAAAGCAAACCTGTTCTCTTCATCAAAAATGCTAACCACCTGTGCCCATGGATCAAGATCACCTGGATGTAGTGCTTGATATTTTTCCCAACTCAGAAGAAAACCATTATGGTTTAGAGAGGAAATGCAGAATGGCAGAATCCACCAGAGAAATTGCACTTATCGAAACAGGCCAAGGCCTGCATGTGTTCAGATAAATCATTTAGTATTGTGTAAATAAAGCTGCAGCCTTTACTTCGGAGGGATGGTGTGGGATTTTGGCCGAGGGAAGCAGGACAGAGAAGGAGCAGGAAGCTATGCTAATTTTCCTGTCGGCTTAAGGGATCCGTCTCAGCAAGAATCTTGTATTCTGATAACGGAATGCTGTACATGCTAACCACATCTAAGAACCATTAAAAAGCAAGGAAACAAATAAACAACCCTTTTCTCATTCCGACACACGAATAGTCGTCGAGTATTACACCAGCCCCTCCGGTGGCTTCCTTCGAAACTGTTGATATTAGCTAAAGTGTATAACCAGTTACCAGCTGCACTTCGCACGGCCATCCCATCTACAATGCGGCAGACTCTTCCCAAGGCCACCTAGCAAGCAAGGTTGATCGGATCATCTAAACTTGCCGCCTCCTAAATATTTCACTGAATCCTGGCATTCGCGTTGAAGTAGACAAAATGAGAAAGGAAGAGTGCATTGCTCACCTCTCGATAGCTTTTTTCGTTCAAGTTCTATGTCTTTATCTGCTCTTGACTGTGATTTTACCCCAGTTCAACCTTGGGAGTGGGAAAAATATGAACAGATAACCCTTGGCCTAACAGCTCCATCAAACCTCCTTGAGAGCAACCACCTAGGCCAGGCTAGTGAGTGCTTTGTGAGGAAACTGGTCAGAAGGTTCCCTCAACTCCTTCCTAGTCCTCCTGGAGGCTGCAGAAAAGATTTAGGGGATCCCCAGCAGAGGCCAATTGCTCTCCCTCCTTCCCTGCCCCACCAGGAAAGGCATAACGTCCACAAACTTGAAGCAGATAGAGAATTCGATCTGTGAAAGGTCCTAGGTACT